AAAGTCTCTCATGGCCCGGGGTTCAGGCTGTGTTTTAAATGCAAACACCTTTCTTTGCCTTACTAACCATCTGCAAAGCTTCGTCACATCAGTGTTTTAACTTCACATGTTTCGGTATGATAAAATGCTTATGATGTTGTGATTTTAATTTGATGCTTTTATGAAATCAGTGTCTTATAGTAAATGTCTGTAAGGATGTACATATTGTGATCAATGTGTTTTTATGTAATTTTACATTTTTTTTTTTAAAGTGCAATGATAACACTTTACAATAAAGTCTCATTTGTTATAAATACAGTTGTTCGTTAGATCACAGTATATGGTTATGATCGCTAACTAAAATTGTAAAAAAAAAATTTTGTTGCTTAAACGTTAAAGTATTTTATTTCAGCTAGTTGTCAAAACTAGTTCTCATTTTCATTTAGTTTAACTGGATATACTAAAATTACTAAAACGCAAATAAAAAGAAATAAAAATGAATAATATATGATATAGTAATAACCGCTTAATGTTCATTTAAACTTTTAAGTGTAGTTCATTTTTTGTTGGTGTTTAATAGCTAACTAATGTTAACAAATGAAACCAAGATAGTAAAGTGTTATCAGTGTGTTTCTTTTAACTGACAAAACTGATTAAAGCTTGGTGTGTCTGTAAATTCAATCAAAACCACTTTATTGGTAATTTTTATTTGTGTGTGTGTGTCTCACAAACACAATGGTTTCAGAGATGGAGTGGCGTCTCCAAACGACAGCAGATGCAGAGACAGAATCAAACAGAAGTAAACAAAGCAAACACACATTTTATGCAATATAGAATCAGTTTTTTTTTTCGTACAACTGACAATACAATAAAATAAAATCCTTCGACGAAACAAACCTGTTAAATGGCATGTGACCATTTTTTCTTTCAGTGATGTATTTGTTCAATAAAAAATAGTTTCTCTACATTTGCGCAAGGGATGATGCTAGTGTTCATTCCCCGTACTTCAAAAATACAGTAATTGGCACAAAATCTGCACTCAACGGTTCAGTTCACCGAACTGGGGCCAGTTGCATAAACTTAGTCACCATGTTAAGACTGTGTCTTAAGAACTAGTTTGACCAACTAGCAGTTGCCAAGGGCAAATCAGTCTTACCTTTCCACTACAAATAAGACCAATCTACCTTTTCATAACTGAATTAAAAAAGTTATGACCAGTCTTAAAGAAAAAAATTTAGATGACTAACTTTTTAAGACTAGTCTAAACAGTTTATGCAACCGGCCCCAGGCTGTGTCTCAAGCCCCGCCCCCGGTTATAATGTCATTGTGAGGTCATCATGGTATGCTAATAGCGAGCCCTTTGATCATGAGGGTGACGCGTGATGGATGACACTTTAAAAAGATTCACAAACGTTCAGATTTGACTATGGGCTGATCAGTCATGAATTATTACACAAAGGATTTCTAATACTTTAGGTAGTTGAAAAGTTGTTTCATAACAAATAATGTACAGATAATGGATGGAGCATGAGCGCTTCCCATGAGCCTGAGCGATTCTGCCACCTTTACACTGAAGATAGGAAGTCAATTTAAATCTGAAATAAGACGCAGCAGAAATTAAAAATGAACCTAATGGGTGAAACTATAAGATACACTAACCATCTCCAATGAAATGTTAAAAAATAACTCTGATTCGTCTCTCTTTTTTATTCCTGTTTAAAAAAAAAAAAAAATAGAAAGCAAAATATGAGACCAGAAATCAAATGCAAGCGTAACATCAGTAATGCTTAAATCCACCTAGAAAAATAGTTCCAGCTGAACAATTTTGTTTTACTTTTACAGATATAATAATACTATAAATTATATTATTATTTTAATATTATAATTATAAATTATTAAAAAATATGAGCTTTACATTTCTGATTTTAAGCACTCTGGAACTTTAAGGTACACTATTTGCTTAAAAAAAAAAAAAAAAAAGACTATATATTTTAATCTACTGAAGCATCATAATCATAATTAATTAATCATGCATTTTGTCTTGATGAAAATATTATTTTAATTCAGTCAATATTTAATTGTCATTCATTCATTTTAGTCAGTTTCTAGTGTAATTTGTCAATGAAAATATTTTAGTTGACAAAAAACGTCAAACCAAATATTCAAATATGTAAATGTGAAAACTGTCCTTGATATGAAGACATTAATAAATATTGCTATTATGTGAGTACTAATTCTTTATGCTTTAATTACTCATTATACATGTTTTATATAAACATAAGCTTTACATTTCTGATTTTATAAATCATCTGGAACTTTTAAGTAAACTACTATATTTGCTTTAAAAAAAAAGTTTTAAAATAATTAATAAAAAAATAAAAAAAATGTAAAAAAAGAAGGACGAGTCAAAATGATTTTCTATGATAATCAACATCATGCTCCAAATACTGCCGATGAAACATGTATTGAAGCCAGACTGTTCTTTTAAGCACATCTTCATCACTAAACATTCAACATCAAACTAAACCACCAGTAACCAAATTAACCAACAACCACCAGAACAACTACTAATCATCATCATGTTAATATTACAATGGACCTTTGGAATGAAACAATCACATGGTCACATTGTACAGTCACTCTGTACTTCAAATCAGGTTTATGATGAATCTCATCATCAGTGTTGACAAGTGAACGAGAAGCGTTTTATAATAGAGATTAAGGCATGAACCTGAATATTCTCTCTAAACTCTATACTGCATATTAATATCTGTAAAAGAGTCCATATAAATTCATAATCAAAACATCTGAGCTTAAAAAGGGGTTTCCCTGATTACATTTTGTACTTTAAATTACCTGGAAACCCTGTGTGTCAGAATGCAATATGCAGTATATAATGTTTGGTTGTGAAGCAGGATAATGCAGGAGATTTTTCAACACAGAAAGACAGGAAGAAAGAGGATGAGCAGGGTGGAGGACAGGAAAAGAGGGAATAGATACATCATCTTCTGACCTGTATTTCCATGATTAGTTCTAGAATGTTCTATGGCTTTATCTCAGTCGGCTCCAAAGCCGGAATTAGACCAAATCCAGACTCGTCTGAGAGGAGTCGAATCTCCACTGGCGTCTGTTCACTGTGCGTTACAGGTTACTGTGCCTTTGTTCAGTCAATACAGTCGCGCGATGGACTGTAATGTAGAATGGAAATTCATTTCATTTTGCTCTACAGGATGTCCAAACTGGCAGTAACGTACAGCGAACCACTAAAATGAGAGCTATCATCTCCAGAAAGGGCACATTTGTGTTTTCTACCAGTCAAACGTTTGGACACACCTACTTATTCTTTATTATGACTATTTTTCATATTTTAGAATAATAGTAGTCATTAAAACTTTTTAACGCAATAAATGCGTAAAAATAAATCAAATAAATCAAATCAACTTAAAAATTTTCTGTTTGTAAAGAAATTTATAAATACACTATTTATAAACGGTTCAGAAAAAAATTACGTTTATGATTTTTTCAAATACTTTTAAAGTGTCTTATGCTCAGCAAGGCTGCATTTATTTGATAAAAATATAATAAAATAAGTAATATTGTGAAATGAATTACTTCATTCATCATTTGCCATTATTTCAGTCTTC